CCATGTTCTACAAATTAAAGGTGAGAGGATGAGACCTTCCCTACCTCCCACACAGCGGTGCTTCGAATCAATCGCATGGACTTGAACGCAGCATCAATTTCGCCATGGGCAAGGAAGAAACTGAAGTTGAGGATTGCGTCTCGTGTTAGTGGATCCGCGGTCTCCAGACCGCTGAACTCGCGCATTACTCGACGGCCTAGATATTGTGATGTTGTCTGCGTGAACTGAGGCCCGATCTGCAAGTTTACCGCGTCTCTCGAAACGAGATCAGGCTGGAAAAACAAATGGACAGATGAATATGAAGTTGGGTGCAATTTCTATGGCTGTGGTAAAGTTCAGCAATACGGGGGGGGGGAGGCGTTCAAGCCGAATCGGCCTTCCAAGGGCAATGGAAGTACCGGTCGCCTCATCTGTGTTGTTGACCACTACACCTTTCCATGAGCTAACAATGACAATGCTTTATGGCTGACACACTCCAACGTATTGTAGCAGAATGACAAATTTCTGGACAAGCTCTCTAGTTTCTTCGGTTTTTAGCAAAGGCTTAAAACGATATATTTTTGCAGCGTGAAAAAGGACTCGATCATCTGACGGGATGTAAAATCTAAGTTTCACAGAAATTTGAATCTCATGGTAGGAGGAAAACCAGGTTCAGGGTCTTTCTTGGAGCTCTCCTAAATCTCGTTTGCCTCATTAAAGTCATTAACAATATTTATGGCACTCGAATTGGATAATCTGAAAATGTTTTGCTCTGTGAAGATGTGTGAAGTATCCTAAATAGCAAATACCTTCCAAACAATCCTAGTAGCCGAGTGGGATTAAGATACAATGAGAACGAGGCGGCAAGGCGGAGTGGGTATATAGTGGATCTGAGCATCTTTTATCGAATAACAAATAATCTTCTATGTGATTCGCAAAAAGAAAGTGTGATGCATTAATCTCAACAGAAAAGAGTTGTCATGATAACCCTGTCACTGACACCCAACGTCGGCGGATGCTCTTCATTCCCGTCTCGTGATTAATTGAATTCCACTTAATGCCAGCTGTCATGGATGACATAAATGACTAATTACGTAGAGTAGTCGAGTGATCATTCCATTTTTAACAACAATGAAATGCCTGTCGATTTCTAAACGAGGAACGAAAAGATACGAAATTGCCGATGTACTTTTAATATATTAAGTAGTATAAAGCGTCTAGAAGTTGAAATTTTCAACTATTAGACCAAGGGAAATTTTGGATTTCATAAAAAAAAAAACTTTGTATAGTGGTAGCACTTTAAGGCTTTATTGCGTCACATAACCGTTATGTTCTTGATTTGGCCTTTGTTTAAAATAGTGTTTGAAGACGCCGGTTCTGCAGTCTCTGCCGTATCTACTTCCACATGGCGGCATGTCTGCAACCTGAGAGCTCCCCCTCGCTCCCCCTACGTTAAGGGTAAATAAGTAGGTCTCCTTCCACATTGGACTGTTTTGTTGCGAATTCAGGAAAGATGCAGGATGGATATTATTGGCATTAGTAAGCAAATCTGGTATGCTTCAAGAATCACCCTGATCTACTCGGCCAGTTGTCAAATCTAAACGCTTTGGAAGGAAGTCCACCTACAGTAGATGAGTGGATCTACGAAGAATCGCCACAGAAGGATCAAAATAGTGACTACTTTTGACAAATTCACAGTTTGGAGTCTTTCATCATAAACGCTAAAAGAACGGTTTTACTTTACTTTTTAAAAACCAGAAGAGATCAAATAAAGCGACTGCATTATAAATGAAACGAATTAACTTACCTTAAGGATAAAGTAAAAATAAGGCACTTCAACTCCAATTAATCCATTGTAGCCTGTATCAAGGTGAAACACTTCCTGTACAATCATGCTGTTGTGTTCTGGATTCACGAAGAATGCCACCACAATATTCTGCAGCTAAAGTAGCAAAGCCAGATTTTATTACAAAAACCTAGTGGGTAAATGGATGCCAGTTTTTAAAAACACTGGCTTACTGTGCGCGTACGATTGAAGCCACATGCCTCTGAATCAAACGTGCTTGAGATCCTCGAATGCTGATGCCGGGGTGGTCGAAGCGATTCATTAGTTGTTTCAATTGCCTCATCGGATGATTCACCAGAACCACCCGAGTCAAGTGCTGCAGGTGTGTCCACCGTTCCAGAGGTGGTGGGGCAGGTAGCGGGAACCAGTTTTGCAGCTTCGACGACTAGTAAACGGGAGTCGTAGAGATCCCAGTAGTGTCGCAGGGGATAGTGTCCACGCACGAACTCCGAGGTCATTTGAGCGACGTTGGAGAGTGTTTTACTCTTACATTCTACAATTGAATCCAAAACTTCATAAACCTTTTGAATATTCATTTACTGGTGCTTTCGCACTTTTTACTAACAATTATTGGGTCAATTTAAGATAAGGAAGCATTTCCCAGGACCACAGACAGTTAAAGTATTGCACCAGGCACTGGTTGAGATATTTCTGGAAAAGCGACTGAAGCCGTTCCAAATCTGGGAGCTTGACATTTTTCTAGGCCACAGAGAATCGGAAATATTTGGACACAGACCTGGATGGAACGAACAAATCCTGCTTTGGGCAAATTTTTAGGTAAAATCACCCGGAAGTAACAAATCTTTCTGGTGAATAGTAGATGAAGGTCACATGGCTTAATGACGCTGAGTTCCAGAGGTCAATAGCAGAAGCCCTAGTGGCAAATGACACAGGAAAACCATTAGAGAGGAAAGCTGGAGTTATGCAGTGGACTGAAGTGACTTTTATCTTTGTTTAGTTTTAACTAGATCTTTCAAATTCCTCTCGAACCCATCTTTAATGCAGAGAAGTGGGGCTCCGCTTATACCATCCAGGTTAGTTGCTTACCAACTCTTCTGTCTGCTTTCTATTCAAGTCGAAACGTCCAGCTAATCCTTCTTCCGCTGCGTACAATAACGGGGACACATATTCTGGATCGTTCCAGAATCCCTAATCAGGATTGCCGGGGAAGGAGGTGTAAGGCCCGAGCTAGAGAATACATACTTTTACAAAAAACTGTATGGTGATATAGGGCTCAGTCTCATGTCTGTCAAGACCGATCCCCACCGCGGTGGTTTTCAGCCCCCCTCTCTAACACCACCTCAACACATAAAATGTCCGATTCTTGACTCCTAATCCACGTTTAGGAATTAATTTGCAAATCGGTCTTAATCACGTCATTTGTGGTAACTGTCTTTCAGTTCCTGTGCAATTTTGGAACTTAGACACTCCGCTTGAGCAATTTAAATTACCTTGACCTTCCAAATGGTCCTTGTTTAAAGCGTCAGCAGCAGTAGTATCATCCAGGGATCTGCCCTCACCGGTTGAGAGATCAAACACCTGAACTCTGTCGGACGCCAACTGCCACACAAAAATCCTCGAATCAGGCTGTGAATCTGAAACAGCAGTCAGGATAAAGGCAACAGCACTAGCATTGCTGTTTATGGAGAGCCAGGCGACCCGCATTCCTGACTGCCCTGCATCACAGACGTCTGCAATGGCTGGCAGGTTGCTACTGAGAGCTTTCGATAGGTACATCTGTTTTGCTTCTCTAAAAAGCCAAGTTACTTGGTTATATGACTAAGTTGACAACTGACTTCTCCGTCAAGTCAAACACCTTCAACACGCCTGTTTCACTAAGACAGGCCATAAAGCCGTTGGAGATGGAAGTTACCACAACTGGACCATCAGCCTCCGCAAAATTGATTAGCTGTTTGACAGTTCCCTAAACATCGAATGATAGGTAATCGTAGAGACAACCAACCTGAAGATTGCGTATATGAAGTTGTCGTGCCTCCCGTGTCACTATGCTCTGCTCGTACATTCCGACGAATTCAAAATCACAGGCAAATGTAGCTGGAGTGAAGAGCATGGAATAAAGGTGGTAAGCAAACATTCTCCTTAACCTTTCCAGCTGTCGTTTCAGTTCCCAAAGGGAACGGAGATTTAAAAAACACGTTTGAAGAAAGAGGAAGAAATACAAAGGCAACAATGACTTACAAAAGGGAGCAAGAGATTGGGAATAATTGTGCTTGTAGACTTGCAATTGGCGACCGTTCCAAACAGCAACATGTTCCTTAATTTGGAGGCATTAAAAGGAGTCAATCACGATGGTTCGTACATGATTATAGTGGGCTACTGTCAATGTATTTAGTCCGGTTGTGGGGGCGACATCAGCCGCATTGCTATCTGATACAACTCCGGTTAGGCGATTAAATAATTCAGATGCTCCATTTATGTCGATGATAAGGAAATCAAATTCCAATGAGCTAGATACAAATTTTAACCAATTCAGAATAATCCAGACCTGCAATATGGAGGTCTTTAAAGTCGAGTACACGAGGGGTACAGACAGACACCTGAAGGTGTCCCGTATTTACAACATTTTGAATGGCCTTGACCTTACACTGATTATTAGAGCTCTTAGAATGCGTATCTCCACGTCGTATTGGTTCACGAGGGGAACTCAAGGAGAGCGTAAATTTTGAAATGTTTATGGATCTCCGAGAGATCACCTTTCCAGCAAAAACTTCTATAGCGTCGAAATGT